AAAAATAATAAAGTATTCAGATCCTCTATGTGATCGATCGCGTCTTCGAACGGCAGCTCCGTTGTAAGGAGAGCAACGAGATCATGTCTCTGAAACTGTGGCTCATCCTATTCTTCATGCGTGAAACATCGAAATTCGTCGAATCCCATCCGGATAAGACACCAGAAGACGCGTCTCTCCAATACGCCAAAATCATATCCACGTGGCAGGAAGGCGATGAAATCCGTCGAGCACTGGATGTACTCCTTCGGAACGCCGTCGCGGCATTCCCATACAAACACTCTTTGCTCCATGAGACACTTCTGAAGGCGTTGGGACGAACGCCTGTGGGACAGAGGCCTTCTGCTTATGAGTATATTGTACAGTCGCTGTTTGGACAGAGGATTGCAGCCGTTTGCCAGTTTTGTACGGTTTGTGGACATCCTGGAGCGAAGAAAAGGTGTCCGCAGTGTAAGGTAAGGAACCGGAAACTTGAAGAATTTGAAAATTTTGAGAAGGTGGACATCGGGACATGGGGATGCACAGATTTCCAAAAATCATACAGTTGAAATCCAAAAAATTTTTGAAATTTTCAGACTTTCAGATTTTCCAGAATTGTTTTTTGGGTTTCGCGAATTTTTGAATTTTCAGTTTTTCTTTGATTTTTTTTTCTCGATTTTTCGTTTTTTTTTTGGAATTTCGGTTTTTTTTTGAAATTTAAAAATTTCCGAAAAATTCAATTTTCCAAAATTTTCAATATTTTAACTTTTTTGGGTTCCAAAGTTTTGGATTTTATCGATTTTTAAAAATTTTCGAGTTTTTAGAATTTTGGAAAATTTTAAGATTTTTTTCAGAATTCAAGATTTTCCAATATTTAAACTTTTCGGGTTTCAAAACTTAGATTTTTTAGATTTTTCGAATTTTTATAAAATTTTCAGACATTTTCAGATTTTTCAAAAAATTGAATTTTTCGGGCTTTGTGGATTTTAAAGATTTATCAATTTTTCAATTTTGAGGATTTCAGAGATTTTCCAATTTTTCGCTTTTTTGGAATTTCGGATTTTCGAAAAATTCAAATTTCCGAACTTTTCATTATTTTAACTTTTTTGAGATCCAAAATTTCGGATTTTGCCCATTTTTGAAAATTGAAAGGTTTCGAAATTTTCGAGTTTTTAGATTTTTAGATTTTTTTAAAAATTTTAACTTATAGGGTTTCAAAGATTTGGATTTTTTGAACTTTTGAAAAAATTTTCAAATTTACAGATTTTTCAAAAAATTGTGATTTTCAAACAACTTTTCAGTTTTTATTAGGATTTTGAACATTTCTAGTTTTTGAATTTTTTTCAAATTTCGAAAAATTTGAAATTCCCATTTTTAATTATTTTTTTCAAATTTCTATAGTTTCCGAATTTTTGAAAATGTAAAAATTCATAATTTCAAGATTTTTAGAATTTTCAGGATTTTAGAAACAAAAAGTTGAACTTTTCGAAAATTCTCTGATTTTATGTTTTCTTCGAATTTTAAAAAAAATTTCGATCATTTTGAAATTTGCAGCTCGCCTACTGCTCCCAAGAATGTCAAAAATTCGACTGGACAATTCACAAAAAAGTGTGCTCATCGTTGAAAGGAAATCAAGAGATTTCAGCCGATGATGGCCACATGATGCCGTTGGACCAAATTCAGGACCAAATTTCGAAAATTGATATTTAATTTTTTTTTGAAAAAATTTTTTTATAGGTTTTCAATTCTTCTAGTCTCCTTGAAATGAAATTCCCATTTTTCGCCCCCATAATGGGCTGCCGGACGTTTCAGAACCCGACGTTTCAGAACTTTTCTGCATTCTTGTATAGTGGTTTTTGTCCTTCAAATGAGCATTTCTCATTTCAATTTTGTGCTTTTCTGCTGTTTTATTCGTTCTGATCTACCGTACTCCAAATAGTGATACGTTCACACTCGAAATCTCTCGAAAAATCGAAAAATGTGAAAATTTCAAAAACAATATCTTGAAGTACGCAAAAATTTTTCCGGCGAATATGAGTCTCATTTTTGCGTATTTCTAGACATCGTTCTGGAAAATTTCAATTTTTCGATTTTTTGAGAGATTCCGAGTGTGAACGTATCACTATTTGGAGTACGGTAGATGCGAACGAATAAAAAAGCAGAAAAGCGCAAAATTGAAATGAGCAATGCTCATTTGGTGTGCAAAAACCACTATACAAGAATGCAGAAAAGTTCTGAAACGTCGTGGTTCCGAAATTTCTGGTTCTGAAACGTCCCGGAGCCGTTTACTAGTCTTAAAATTCCCATTTTTTGCCACAAAATTTCCCAAATTTTTTGAATGTTTTTTTTCCAATTTTAAGATCTCTCTGTAATCCAAAAATTCAAATGTCTTCTTTTTCCTACTAAATATGTTATTTGCCTGAAAAATTCTCTTGAAAATCCTCCTTTTTTTTGTATTTTTCCCCCGAAAATTCCCCCAATTTTTAATAAAAAAATTTGAGAAAAAAAAACGTTATTATCAAGATAATCCGATATTTACACCCACTACTGATCCTCTCTTTTTTCTGGCACTTACTTGTTTTTTTTTCTAATTTTTTAGAAATTAAAAAAATATCCCAAAAAACTAAAAATCTTGAATTTTTCAGAATTCCGGAAATTTTTCGAAAACTTAAAATTTCTAATTTTTAGCTCGAAAAGCTTTAAAAATCTAGTCTTTTTTCAAATTGTGAAAATTTTTGGTATTTTATGGAATCTTCAAAGAATGCCCAAAAAATTGACAATTTTAATTTTTTTGAATTTCGTAAACAATTTCAGAAAATTCCATTTTTAGCTCAAAATGGGCAATGTTCAACGATGAACAAAAATTTATTTATAGAAAAATTATTTTTTGAAAATGACACAAATGTATTTTCAGGTTTTTCTGAAAATTTTGTCTGAAAATAATTTTTTGTGTTTCTGAAAAACAACAGAAGAAAATGACTAAGAAACAGGTGAAAAATTCTTCAGCTGGTTTTATTTTTCAGCTGGTTTTTTTTCTTTTTCTATGAATAATAGAAAAATCACCAGCATGAAAAATGACTTATTTTTTTATTCTTCTGAAATTTCAGATTTTTTGAAAAAGTGGAATTCTTAATTTCAAAAAAAATTCCAAATTTCAAAGTCTATAAATTTGGAAAAAATTGGAAATTTCGAAATTTCAGATTTTTCTGAAATTCTCTTTTCAAAAATTTGTGAATTTTCGGAATTTTCAAAATTTCAGAAAATATCGATTTTTTGTGATTTTAAATTTTGGAAAATTTGAAAATTCGAAATTTCCGAATTTCTGAAATTTCATTTTTAAATTTTTTTCAAATTCTGAACTTCTGGAAAATTTCAAAAATTTCATTAAAAATAGATTTTCCGAAAAATTATCAATAGAGCGAATTTGCTAAACATTTTATTTTCAAAAATCAATATTTTTTATTAATAAAAAAGAAGCAAAGAAAAGAATATAACCTCATTTTTTCCAATTTTATTCCCAGAAGACGTGACATCTGATGACGTCGACGTCATCAGAAGAAAAGACTTCTGAAGCAACAAATTCCTATTATTATGCATTATCCATTCATAGAATTACTTGAACCCTTCAAAAATGCCTATTTTTCCATTGTTTTTTTTGTTTTTCTTTTGCAAGAAGTGGGCGGAGCCTATTTGACACCGCCCACTTTTTTCCTTGTTTCTGAAAAACTGAAATCTGTCTGGAAATATCGTTTTTTTTTAGATTTGGAAAAAAAAATTTTAGGCTCCGCCCACTTTGTCTGTCTACCCCACAGATGCTTCTGTTAGGCGCGTTTTCAGCTGTTTTGAGAAGTTCTAGGCTCCGCCCACTTTATTTTTATAGAGGATTCTAAGGATTTCAGATTCTGTTTGAAATTTACTAAAAATATTTTTTTCGGAAAATTTCGAAAAATCTGAAAATTCGAAATTTTCAGATTTTTCCCTATTTTTAATAACGAATTCTTGAAAATTCAGTGTTAAAAAAAACTTAGAAATTCATGGAAAAAAAAACAAAATTTCAGAAATAAAAAATTCAAAAAATTCTAGAAAAACAAATAATTTTTTGAAAATTGCAGAAAATCTGAAAATCAAAAAATTTCTTTAAAAAAAATTCATTTCGACTCTGAATTCAGTTTCTTCTAGTTTCGAGCTTCAAAATGAGCCCAAACTCGACTAGGCTCCGCCCACTTTCATTTTTCAGGCGCGTCGCGGTCGTGCGTTGCGTGTCTAGGTGAAATTTCTAGGTGAATATATATATATTATATATACTTTATATCTCATAAATTACAAATTTCAATTATGTTCCCCAGGTTCTTCTTCTCTCGTCAACAAAAAAAATAACTAAGAGAGTGTCTGAAAACAAAAAAAATATAATGGTCTCTTCTTATTTTTCCTCTCTTCTTTTCAATCCCTTTGGTGGATTCCCTTTCTTTTTTCTCTTATTTTCCCCATGTTTTGTTCTCGAGGTAGTAGTCTAGACGCATCCTTCACCAGTCGTTTAGTTCTTTTTTTGAAATTTTGAAATTTTTTGTCATTTTTCTGCGCTCCAAAATAGTCAGAAATGGGTTCTTTTTTTTAATTCCCGCCAAACCAGAACTGCGCATTCTCAATAGAGCGCGTTTTGCCGTTCACTGTTTTACAGTTCCCTAATAATTGCAATATTGCAAACACGCTCCACTGAGAAACAGCTGAAATTTTTGAACTGCTGTATGCGTTGTGTTTTTTCCAATAGAGCGCGTTTGCATCGAATTTTGGAAAACCGAATTTTTCGTTCCTTTGATTGGTTGGCTAGCTCATGGAATATAAAAAAACAAGGTACCAGAATTTATCAGAATTTATTAAATATTCAAAAGCCAAAGAATAGAATAAAAAGGGGGTATGCCAACTTTGAGACTATATATCTCATTTTCTGTAAGAGATATCAAAAAACGATCAACTGATAAAATGTTTATCATAATATCAATAACGTTTTGCTAGTGAACCAATTTTTGATATCTCTCACAGGAATTGAGATAAATTGGCCCAATGGTTTGCTAACTTTAAACCAATATATCTCGCTTCCCGGGAAAGATAATTAAAAGTGGTCAACTGATAAAATTTTTATCACAACATGAGTAACGTTTTGCTTGTTAACCAAATTTTTATATCTCTGTCCGGAACTGAGATATTCGAGCTCAAAGTTAGGGGGGGGGGGGGGAGTGTTCATCCTTCATAATTAGCTATTCGACCATCATCAAAAACTCGTCCTCTGTTTTATCCCATACGCCAAACATGAGCCATTTCTCCTCAATCAGAACAGATGCCACACACGATTATCTGTTTCTCTGACCACATACGCGCGGCTTTTGATTGCTTTTGTATTTGGCTCGAAATACCTGTTGAACCTGAAAAATGGCATATCTCGTTTCAAGATCAACAGTTTTTCTTGAGTCAAGAACTATACTGTGGAACTCAACGAGATCTACAAACTGATATACTAATAAATAATGTTTGAATGGTAATTCGGAACTATGTACATAGAGAGGCCGCAAAGGAAAGGACTTGTATCTACGCGGTCATGCCTGAATGTCGAGTTCCATACCAACTTCAAGTAACTTACACTCTGGGCAAACTGTGCATTGGTGCCTTTTTTGCTGGATCAATATGTTTTGCGCCAATTGCTTCTAGAATTCGGTTTTGCTCCTCATCAACTTCTCCGACCTCCATGCGTTCCAATTTATGGTATGCTTCTCCGAACTTCCATCGAATCACGAACAATATCAAATCTGAGATTTTGCATCCAGTAAAACATCTTAAAACAGCCTGTCTCCCTTGAAAATGGCGTAAAGTAGTTGGAAAGCCCCTTTCGTGTTGCTCGATATCAATAGATTCTGTCCGAACTTTGAGTCTAACCTCAATGGTCTCGCTGGCGTAATATACATTTGGACGTGTTTCATCATAGGATATGAGGAGAAAAAGTTCTCAACTGGTTCGATGCCGCAGAACCAGTCCATCCACATGCCAAGGCATACTGATAACTTTGGAACGTTTGGAACGAAGGGAGGATAGTGGATTATTATCCAGAGATACTCCATAGAATCGCCGAAAAAATTGAGGAAATAATAGTGAATCAATTTGATGACGGACTTTCTTTCATTCGTGCGAAAACATGCTACAGGAAAGTATTGCCCGTATCTTTTTGTCATTCTGAAATAAGGATGTTTTTAATTATTTAACTAAGCTCATCATATCTCACCGGAAAGCAATTTTCCTTCCGAATACGTTTAATTTAAAATAAGGACTAGGGTCTTTGTTGGATGATCTGAAATATTTATATGTTAGGGTACTTCTGGGATGGATTGATTGATTATAACTCACCCAAACTCGAATTTCTTTCCGAACACATTCAATTTGAAATTGAAATTTATTTTTTATCCTCGCGTTTAGCAAACTGCATGATGGTGTCCCAATTGTACTTGTTGTGTTTTTGGCGAAGTAAAACCATATGCTCATCCTCATCATTATGGTCATATTTGATAGATTTGATCATTTTTCTGAAGTATTTTTCTGAAGCTCTTTTGAGACTTTTTGATCAATTTGGACATGTTTTTGGAGAGGAAGGGCAAAAGAAATAGCTCGGAATATTCAACGTTGTGAAGGATCTCATCCTGTACCAGATATGGGAATTCGAGGAGTTTCATTCTGAAAAATGAAGATTGGAGAGGAACAAGGATATAAGGACAAATGATGGAAACAGAAGACGTGACAGATGACATCCAAAAACACACAGAAGACATCAAGATTGACCTTGAGGAGTGCTTTTCTGTTATACAGACAAATACAATGACCCAGGCAAGACGGTCCGTGCAGCGGAATGCATGACGTGTCAAGACACAACAGCTGGTCCAAGGGAATATGACAGCCTGTCTGTCTCCAGATTGTGACGTCATCAGGAGAAGAAAAAATGGAAACTAGAGTTTCTTGAAACTTTAAAAAAGAGCCAAGTTAAAGAATGACATGAAAAAACAGTCAAAAATCTCAACTTGTCATTAGATCCGTTTTTCATTGGCAATACGAATCGTACCTTTAATTGGACTCATCCATGTCACACTCTACATGGAATAACTCGACTTAAATTCAATCTTTCTACTTGAATCAAAAAGTAAAACGTAGAAATCAACGAGATCTACAAAATCATATCTGATTTGACCTATAGTCTGATGTCCAATTTTCAGCCAGAAGCAGTGAAATTTGTATGTCTCCAGTTGCATCTTCTGTAGATTAATATTTAAGACAGTTAATTTAGGAACGTTTTGGAGAAAGTTGAATCGTTAATTTTTTCAATTTCAAGTCGTTTTGCTCAGTTTTGAGCTCATCAGAATTGCATTTGATTTTGGTTCCTAGAGGGCGTCTTAGGGAATAAAAAAAATTAGTTGGACCATTTTTCTAGAGAACTTTCATGCTAATTCAGCCCTTTTTTTCAAACTAATGTAAATTGCAAAATGCGCTCCATTGGACTTTTATCAAGCGCGTTTTTGCGCTTTCCTCAATATAAATAATAACTACGGTAATCCTAAAGGTTCTATTAACAGTAGTCCTATATTTCAAAATTACAGTAATCCTATAGGGCGCATTTTCGACAAATGTATGTTTTTGGATATCGGATATATCCGTTCGTTCTCTACTAATTAGATTGTAAAAATGATACAAAACCTGGCTGAAATTTGAGGAATCCTAGAGTGTTCGATTCTTTATTTTTGGATTTTCTGAATTCTCAAATTTCGTATTAGAGGGGAACAAACATGAGTTTGGGTGGGTGAATTCTGAGAAATGCGAAAATTTATGTGAGCGGAAAAATATAATTAGAAGAGGTTAGAACTCTGAATTTCCCGAAATTTTGAAACTTTTTTGTTCAGATTTTAGAAATTTCAGACATTTTTTATTCAAAAAACTAGAAATTTTTAAAATTGTGAAAGATTTCAAGAATTCCAAGATCTCAGAATTATAATTTTTTGTTTTGAAAATATCCAGTTTTAGAATTCTGAAGCTCTACAAAAAGTTCTTTCCCTGCGTCTCTCTTCTTCTTTATATTTTTCCAGAAGACGTGTCAATTCAGATGACGTCAAATTCCGAAGAAAAAGGAAAAAGAAATAATAAGTTCTTCTTTTTTTGCTCTCCTAAACAGAAATCTAAAAATAGGTTTTTTTTTCGAAAAGAAAAAGAAAAAATTAGGAATTCTAAGATTTCGTGACTGAGTAGTTTTGGGTTCGGATTTCCTTTTGTTTCGGAAATTTTCAAAAAGTTGATCCTCTCCGAAAAAAAATTTTTGAAACTTCCTGATTTTCTGAATTCCTAAAAATCCTTCTTTCAAATCTTCTCAAATCTCTCAACTAACGTCTTCTGAATCTCTAGAAGACGTCAAATCCCGACAGAAAACCCTCTTATCGAGTTTTAGTTTCTTTTTTCCTTTTTTTTTTGCTCAAAACAATTTCTTTCTCTTCAAAATTTTTTCCAGCCTCCTTTTTGCTATTTTATTTTCAATTTTTGATATTTTCAGACTAATTCTATTAAGGATGAGCAATCGACGAGTGTCTCTTCCGGTCGCCTTGGCGATTCCACAGCAATTCCCATCCCGTCTCTCTCCTCCATCACCTGCGTCGCCAGCCGCCAATCGACGGTGAGTGATGGCATGGGGAATGGGAATTTTAGAAATTTTATAAGAAATTTGAATTTTAGAAATTTAAAGCATCAAAATATGTATAAATTTGTTGGGGGGGGGGGTTTCAGTTGAAAAATCAGCTGAAATTTTGGAAAAAAAATGTTGAAATTATTTCTTGAGCATCAAAAAACTGCTACTAATGGCTTGGGGAACAGAAAATTTTGGAAATTGTGTTAAAATTTTGAATTCAGCATGATTTGAGCTTCAAAATGAGTATAAATCTGTTGGGGGTTTCAGTTGAAAAATGAGCTGAAATTTTGGAAAAAATGTTCTAAAATTTTTTTTTTGAAATTAGTTACAGGCGCCAAAAACCTGATTGTAACAGCTTGGGGTATAAAAGTTTTGACATTTAGTACAAAATGGGAATTTTAGAAATTTCATAGAAAACTTGAATTTTAGTGGTCCAGAGCTTCAAAACGATTATAAATTTGTTGGGGGTTTCAGTCCGAAATCGAGTTGAAAACTAGTGAAAAATTCTGGAACCATTGTTCCTAAATTATTTTTTGAGCATCAAAAAACTGGGAATAATGACATGGGGAATGGAAATTTTAGAAATTTTGTTAAAAATTTGGATTTAGCTTGTTTAAAGCTTCAAAATGAGTATAAAATTGTTGGGGTTTCAGTTGAAAAATGAGCTGAAATTTTGGAAAAAATGTTCTAAAATTTTTTTTTTGAAATTAGTTACAGGCGCCAAAAACCTGATTGTAACAGCTTGGAGTATAAAAAATTTTGAAATTTCAAACAAATTTTGAATTTCAGAGATTTAGAGCTTTAAAATGAGTACAAATTTGTCGGGGGTTTCAGTTGAAAATTATGCTGAAAATCGGAGTTTTTTGAAAGATGATTTTTTACAAAAAATTTTTTCTAATTAAATATTTATTGAAAATGAAAAAACATACAAAAACTCTGGAACTATGTCCTGAAATGATTTTCAGAATTTCTTTAAAATTTCAGATTTCTTGCAAAAAAAACATTTATGGTAAACAAAAAATTGGATTTCAAGAAAAAATTAGATTTCCTCTTGTCCAATTTTTTCTCCTTTTTTTCTAAATTTTGGTTTTTTTTTCTTGGAAACCTCTTCACAAAAATTTCAGCATTTTCATTTTCAACTATTTTTGACTAAAAGCGAAAAAATTTCAATAGAGCATATTTATATCGTTCAGATCTCTTCCGACGTCTCCGATTTGTCGTCGAAGTCTTCCATCGACTCCACGTACAGTATCCCCGAGAAGATTGAATAATTTATTGCCGGATGTTGATGAACATTTTGCAAGTACTAGTACTACTTCCAGGTAAGTCCTTGAAGTTTTGGGATTCTGAAATTCAGGACTCTTGAAAGTTCAGAATTCTAGAAAATTCAGAAATTCAGAAATTCAGAAATTCAGAAATTCAGAAATTCAGAAATTCAGAAATTCAGAAATTCAGAAATTCAGAAATTCAGAAATTCAGAAATTCAGAAATTCAGAAATTCAGAAATTCAGAAATTCAGAAATTCAGAAATTCAGAAATTCAGAAATTCAGAAATTCAGAAATTCAGAAATTCAGAAATTCAGAAATTCAGAAATTCAGAAATTCAGAAATTCAGAAATTCAGAAATTCAGAAATTCAGAAATTCAGAAATTCAGAAATTCAGAAATTCAGAATTCCAGAAATTCAGAAATTCAGAAATTCAGAAATTCAGAAATTCAGAAATTCAGAAATTCAGAAATTCAGAAATTCAGAATTCCAGAAATTCAGAAATTCAGAAATTCAGAAATTCAGAAATTCAGAAATTCAGAAATTCAGAAATTCAGATTTTTTTTTAATTTTCATATTTCGAATATTTCGATTCTTTGAATTTTTAAATTCTCAGAATCAAAACTAACATTTTGGACACCCAACAAAAAGTTTTTTTTTCGTTTGTCAATTTCAAAAAGTATCAATTTTCAGCTCGGAAAACTCGCCTCGTCGTGTGAAAAAGCGACGTCCACCGCCAAGGTAAATTTGATATTGTTTTTGAAAAAATTCAAAAAACTCGATTTTTTCACAAATGCGCTCTATTGCAAAATTTTTTTTTAATTTCCAAATTTCCAGATATCAATACTCTCTGCAAACCGCTTCAATAATGAATCAACAAAATTCCGAGGAACTCGACGAAGAGAAACCCGAAGGAACGCTGAGAAGTTTTGGAATCAAAAATGGACATGTCATCGATAATGGATACAAGAATTTGAGTCAAATGGCGACAAAACCAATAGCAATGCACAATTATAGTGAGTTTTTCGGTAGAGCGCAGTTGCAATTCAATCTGAATTTGTTTGAAATTCACATTTTTTATGATTTTCCAAGTTTCGCACAAGATCCTTAACGAAAAATGACTCAGAAATGACTAAAACGAGTCAAAATGGAGTTCAAAAATTTGAATTAGGAAGTTGAACTTGTCCACGAGGAGTACAAAACTTTTTTGACGAGTTGAAAGCTGATTTTTTGGGAGAATGCTTTCCCATAGTTGAGAATTAAGATTCGCAAAGAATTATTCAAAAATAATATTCCGCAAACTCGCTCCATAGCAAAAAGTGACGAAAAAAATTCAAACTTGTCCACGAGGAGTACAAAACTTTTTCGAGGAGTTGAAAGCTAATCTCTTGGGAAAATGCAGTTTAATAGTTCGCAAACTCGCTCCAATGCTAAAAATTTCGAAATTTCCAGAAGATCGTCGTGCCACGTGTCCAGAAGTCTGGCTATTCCAGGAGACGTCAAATATTCCGATGCAACACATTGTTCTCAGAATTTATGGATCGAAAAATTGCGGAAAAAAGACACTTTTGAATTCGATTAATCAATTCGCTACCAAGCTGGTAACTCGTTATAATAATGAATGTAAGTTCAATAGAGCGTATTTGAAAAAGAGGAATTCTAACATTTCAACTCTGAATCAAGCTTTTTCAAATTCAGAGCTTCAAAATGAGTCCAAACTCGACTAGGCTCCGCCCACTCCCATTTATCAGACGCGTCGCGGTCGTGCGTCGCGTATCTAATGGAAATTTCAAAATGGGCCGAGCCTAGCCGAGTTTGGGCTCATTTTGAAGCTCTTAATCTGCTAAATTTAATGAAAATAGTACATTAAATTTTTTTTGAGGAAAATTATTTTTTTCGTTTTTTTTCAATTTTTTCGAAAATGCGCTCGATTGAGAAACTCGTTTTTTCAGCAACCGATGGAGATGAAAATACTTCGAAAACGCTGAATTTTCTCCTAAACAACGAGCAAATCGAGCTGGAAATGCTGCTGGAATCCACCTTGGAGGTATGTAATTCAAAATCAAAATTTTGAAAAAGGCAAACGCGCTCCATTGACAATTTCTTGTTCCAGAACTCTCCATTCGCTTCATCTTTGACTATGTACGCAGTTGTGTACAACGTAGACAGTCGAGAATCGTTTCAATGTGCCACCGAGCTGGTCCAACGACTTTTGAGCCGAAAAATCGCCCGTGGTCCAAACGTTATGATTATTGGCAATAAAATTGACCTCAAACGGAATACGGTAGTTTCAAAATTGGGTGAGTTGCAGAAAAAACGGGCAAAAATGACCCAAAACGAACTAAAACTGCAAATAAAAAATTCAAACTTGTCCATGAGGAGTACAAAATTTTTTGAGCAATTTTCGAGATTTTGAATTATACATAGTAAAATTAGTTTTGAAACTCTCCACAAATTTTTCAAATTTTATCAATAAAGCGAATTTGCAGAAGGCGCATGTCTCGCGAAAATCCACAAATGCCACTTCATCGAAGTCTCCGCCCAATACTCAATGAACATTTCGGAACTTTGGACGATCGTTCTGAAACAACTTCAGAATCCGAAGACGTCGTCAGATCCTGATGACGTGGCGTCAGAATCCAATGGATGGATGCATCGAATGGTGGCACGAGGCAAACAGCTGGCACATTCCGCCGAGCAAATTGTGCAAAAGTTTTTGTAAACTCGGCTTGCCAACTTTAGGCGTCTACGAAATCACTTTAAAATTATTCAATTTTTTTGAAAATCTCAGAATAGGTCAATTAAAAATAGAGCTTTGTAGTGGACAACTTTTTTGTAAAATTAGATCCAGGAGAGATATGCCAGGTGGAAATGATGGTGTCTCTGGGCGGGGCGAAAGGCGGCAACGCCGCTGGTCACGCTTAGGACGATATTTCGCTAGGGCGCGTTTGCACCAAAAAGTTGTCAACAAAGCCCTAGTTTTAGTTGATCTACCTAGAAAGTTTCACAAAAATTGAACAGCTAAAAAGTGATTTTGTAGACGTCTAAACTTGATTTACCGTTTCTTCTCTAATAGAAGCCCATCTAAACCGTCAAACTTGAGCTCAATTATCTCGATACCTGTAAAAGATATCAGAAAGTGGTCAATTGATAAAATGTTGTTAATATTATGATGAATATTTTCCTAGTTGATCACTTTTTAATATGTTTTACAGAAACCGAAATAATCAAGCTCAAAGTGCGAGCTTCTACCGGCTATGTGGTGGGTGCAGCCTGAGCTCAGTTATCTCGGTTCCTGTAATGGTATCAAAAAGTTGTGAACTGATAAAATGTATATCATAATATCACCTAAATTTTATCAGTTGGCAACTTTTTTCTATCTTAAACGAGAACCGAGATAAGTTGGCTTAAATTTGAGGTTGGCGTTCTATTAGAGTGTTGAAGGTAACTATTTTTTTTCTTTGTGATAAATATTTGGATTTTTGAGAGAAAAATATTTAAAAATTTTAATTAACTACTAATTTATGGAGATTTGAAAATTACAAAGGTGGACAAAAAATAGATAATGGGGAGTAGAAAATACAAAATTCATTTCATTCTCCAAAAACGATTTTTGAGTCTTCACCACTATTTTTACGGAGAAGTAGGAGTAGCTGGCAGCTTCTGAATTCACAAAAAGCCATGAAGGTTCGTACCTTTCGTATCCGATTCCCGTAACACCTGTAATTTTTCTTTGAGGCAGATTTTTATGAATTCGGCCTCAGAAGCTCAAAACAAAACTCACTTTGTCTCTTCTGGTGACTTCCGGGTTGATCATCAGCTTGACCTGCTGGAATCGACTTCGTTTCTTGAGGCGCGTGTGGAGCAGCTTCTGGTCGACCGTGTCCAAGGCAGTTCCGAAGTCAAAGCCGCACTGATGCAGATGCTGGAGAGCATATTTCAGTTGGGTTTCGTCGGATAACGCCTCAAAAGTTCTCGACATCTGGATCGACATCTGGAGCAAAAATTGACACTTTGTTCGTACGCCAACGTCGACGGAACTCGGAGAGCATTGCGACATTCCAGGTTTCGTTGATTGCCTGAAAGTATGGAAATTTAATGCAATTTTCATTTACAAACCTGTGTTCATACTTGTAATCCGGGCATTTCCCGGGCCTTCACGGGCTTTGCCATTGTTCTTTCAGAATCGTCATTTTCAGACCAACTTAATCAAATACGATAGAGCTCGACGAGTACTACAAGATGAATTTTTGCGGAATACTGTATCTTGTCTGTGAACAAAGTTACAGGCAAAAAAGAGCAAAAAAAGCAGGCCCGGCGCGTCTCGACACGTCCGAAAAAAGCCACTTTATGGCCTGTAACTTTGTTCGCAGACAAGATACAGTATCCCGCAAAATATCATTTTGTAGTACTCGTTAAGCTCTATCATATCCAATTTAGTTTATCTGCAAATTTTGATACTGAAAGAAACTATGGCAAGGCCCGGGAATGGCCCGGATTACGAGTATGCATGTGCTTACTCACTCTCAAAGAGAGAATCTCCATATCCCATTCCATGGCATGATCCATGATACGAGCTCTGATAACACTGTGTTCCAAGAATAAAGAAGCAGCTATTCAGGAAAATCAATAAAGCTTGGAGGCCCGAACATTGAGCCATTGAAAAATATTAGGTTAAGAATATAAAAGAAATTCAGAAAAAAATCAATAAATATGTAGGAGGCCCGCACATTGGGCCTGGGAGGAAAGCAGAATGAAGAAAGCAATCGCGGACAGCAATAATACGAGAGAGTTGGAGACGCAGAAAACGCCCGTCGCAGAATCATAAATCTTAAATGATAGAGAGAAGAAACGCATCGTGAGATGAAGGATTTTTTAACAATTGCAATTTTTGCATTTTCCATACTTTCAGACTTTTTTTTGTTTTTACATTTTCATTTTTGAATAAAAATAAAAATACTCGTAATCTCTTTTATTGAAATGCATCGCATCGAATCGAATCATATAAAACATACAAAAAAAAACGGAGCAATTTTTCAAATTTTGAAAAAAATTAAAAATCAAAAACGAATCAAAAAAAGTGAAGAACATATACCAGTAATTAAAAGACAGACTATATTGATAAGAATGAAAATTTGGGAGAAAAAATTGATCAAATTCTAAAACTCGACGAAGTTAGCGATAAACTTTTCGGATCCTGAATTCCAGACGACTGAGAGGCCATCGAGTGATATTTGTCGCCACATTCGGTGCTCTGGAAATAATTTTCAAAATTTTTAAAAATTGGAAAATGCGCGCTAATGATAATTTTAAACTTTTTATTGTTAGAAATTCGATTTTGGCGTCCTTTTCGGCCTAAAATTTGCTAAAATGGCCAGTGGCCGAGTTTGATAGATTTCTAGGCCATCAAACCAAAAATTAACCGATTTTAGCCGATTTTTCGAATCAAATTTCCCGGATGGCCTAGGAATTCAAAAAACTAGGCCATCAAGGGCTAGGCCATTTGTGACATTTTACAAAAAAACCCCGGCAAAATCTGTCAATTTTGAGCTGACAATGAGCAATTTTCAGTTCGGTGGCCTAACTTTGTCCAAAAATTGGTTTCCTAGGTCATTAGTTCAAAGTGGAGAAAAATGAGTCAAAAATTGGTCAATTTTGAGCTAAAATGACCGATTTTTACCCTGGTGGCCTAGATATCCAAACAACTCGGCCACCGGCCATTCTAGCCTGTTTTTGACAATATTCGCATAAAAAAATGAGCTAAAAATTAGCAACTTTCAGCTTGGTGGCCTAGGAATCCAATAAATTCGGTCATCGGTATTTTTTCCGCCTAATTCAACAAATTTTGCATAAAAACGGCCTGGAACAGTTCATTTTATCCTTCATGGCCTAGTTTTTTGGCTTTCTAGGCCATCCGCAGAAAATAGAGAAAAATGAACTAAAAACTGTCAATTTTAAGCTAAAATGACCGATTTTCTCCTTGGTTGCCTAGAAATTCAAAAAACTCGGCCACCAGCCATTCTAGCCTGTTTTTTGACAAAATATTCGCATAAAAAACGACCTGAATTAGTTCGGTTTGCATCTGATGGCCTAGTTTTTTGAATTTCTAGGCCATCCGGGAAATTTGTGTCGAAAATCGAGAAAACAGAGCCCAAAATTGACTGAAATCGGTTAATTTTGAGCTTGATGCCAAAATGCGCTCTAATAATATTTCCGGTTTTTCGAATGTTAGAAATGCGATTTTCAGCTCAAACTTCGTGGAAAATCGGCTGAAAATAGCCGGTGGCCGAGTTTGCTGGATTCCTAGTCCAGCAAGCTAAAAATCAACCGATTTTAGCCGATTTTTTGAATCAAATTTCCCGGATGGCCTAGGAAATCAAAAAACTAGGCCATCAAAGGCAAAACGAACTAAGTCAGGTCAAAAACCGGCTAGAATGACCGGTGGCCAAGTTCGTTAAATTTCTAGGCCACGTAACTGAAAATCGGTCAATTTTAACCAAAAAATGACCGATTTAGAGACATTGTTCTCCAAATTTTACAGATGGCCTAGAAAACAACTTTTGGAGAAAGTTATGCCACCTAACTATAAATAGCTCGTTTCCAGCGTTAAAATGAAGGATTTTGGATCATTTTTCTCTATTTTCTGCGGATGGCCTAGAAAGCCAAAAAACTAGGCCATGAAGGATAAAATGAACTGTTCCAGGCCGTTTTTTATGCAAAATTGGTTGAATTAGGCGGAAAAACTCCGATGACCGAATTTATTGGATTCCTAGGCCGCCAAGCTGAAAATTGCTCATTTTTTTATGCGAGTATTGTGAAACACAGGCCAGAATGGCCGGTGGCCGAGTTTTTTGAATTCTTAGGCCACGTAACTGAAAATTGCTCATTTTTAGCCTAAAATTGACAGATTTCGTCGATTATGGCTCTTTTTTACAGATGGCCTAGAAAATCAAAAAAAAACTAGGCCATCAAGGACAAAATGAACTGTTCTAGGTCGTTTTTCATGCTAAATTGGTTGAATTAGGCGGAAAAGCTCTAGTGGCCGAGTTTTTTGTTTTTCTAGGCCACCAAGCTGTAAATTGCTCATTTTTAGCTCAAAATTGACCTATTTTCGACTAATTTTTCTTCGAATTTTACAGATGTCCTAGAGAACCAATTTTTGGACATAGTTAGGCCACATCACTGAAAATTGCTCATTTTTAGCTAAAAATTGACCAAATTTTCTGATTTTTCGGGGTTTTTGAGCCAAAAATTCAAAGAACTCACCCTTTGATGCCTATTAACACTCTCCTGCCTGGAATATCTCTTTCCACAAACATCACAAGCGAACGCTCCATTCGATTCATGCGTCAATCGATGTTGGATAATCCATGCTTCTGTCGAAATGTCTTATCACAATCACGACACTGATAAGGTCCCAAATGCGAAAATTGAGTGTCGATTTGTCGTTTTTTGCATTTCCCGGCGCCATTTTTCTTGGAATTCGGCGACGAATCCAGCGAAGAGGAATCGAAAAAATTCGAATAATTATTCACATTTTCATAGTGATCAAAGTGGGCGGAGCTTGTGGTGCTGGACTTGATTTGGCCCAGAATTAATTCCAAATTGAAATTTTGTTGTAAATCTGAATCCAGCTGCTGGTTTAGACGATAGCTTGATGGGAAGGCAGATGACGTTGAGGGGAGATTGGGGTCCTGGAAAATGGGATTTGCATTAGAGCGCATTTGCTAAGAATTTGAGTTTTTTGCTTGAAATTGTAAATGGAGCTGGTTTACACTCGCATTGGAGCGCACTTAGACACATTTCGCGAAAATTTCGGTGGAGCACGTTTGCTAAAAAAAAAATCCAGTAGAGCGCACTTGCTGAAAAGCCTGAATTTCGCGATAAATTGTGATAATTCCGAAAATGCGCTCTACTGAGAATTTAAAAAATTTTCTCATTAGAGCGAATTTTAAGTTTTCCGAAAATTCAAATTCTCACCATTTGCCCATTCGTCCTTGCGAAACCATTGACATTAATTCCATTCAGAAGCACATCCCGCAAGCTTGGTGCAATATCACATGAGCATTTCTGGAAAATGCGCTCTATTGATAATTTTTCGAAAAAGTCGATTTTTCGGCGGGAAATTTGAATTTTTCAAAGGAGACTTTCGATTTCAAAGGGCTTTTAGAATTTTTTTGACATTTTAAACAATAATTTTTGAGTTAATTACCCCTAATTTCTCCTTAATTAGCGAATTGATATTCCGTTGTCCTGAATTCACTGCATCCACTTTTTGCGTCAAATTCCTTTGTTCTTGGATTAATTGCTTCACCAAATCGATCAGTTGATTGATATTTGAGAGATTTCCAGAAATTTCCGGAGGCTGAAAATCCGAAAATTCAGAATTTTCGAAAAAAAAATTTTTTTTGAAAAAAACATTTGTTTTATTTAAAAATTGTTTTTTTTTCAGAGTTTTCATATGTATTCTCAAAGTTTTAATGCTTAAATAGCATTCAAAAACTTTAAATTCTAAAAAAATTTAAAAACTCACTTTAGCCTCATTTCTCCTTAACAAATTCGCTGTAAATTGTTGAATATAGCCGCTGGCCTCTAGAAATTTTCGATAATCCTCATTTTCAGACATTTTTCAACGGAAAACGACTGAAATTCAGTGAATATTTGTCTTTTTAGAATCAATATGAATCAAGTGTTGTCTGGTTTGATGCAGGGTACGCAATGCACCCTCTCAGAAAATCTAGGTACACCACGACGACACATTGCGGACTAGGGTTTTTTATTTCGGCGAAAAAAGAAAGAAAAAGAATTTTTCGACACAGAAATTCAGAGAGAAAAAGATGTGTTCTCTCGGCTCATTTGGAAAAAAAACGGCTTCTTTTTTTCTCTAACACTCTCTTTTTTTCGTATTCTCTATCTCCGAGAAGAAGCCATAAAAACGGATGGGCATAGAGTTTTCCGGTGCTCCAAAACTCATTTTATAGCTGAAAACACTCCGAAAAACGTCAGAAAATTTCCTAAAATCCATAAAAATTCAAATTTCCTGCCGAAAAGTCTGAAAAATTTGAAAAAAAGTTCTCGATCTTTGACGTCATCTATTTTTCAAAAAATCCCGAAAAGTTGCGAACTAGACAGAAAAGAGATTGAAATCTGTGTCCCCTTTTATCTTGATAGATTTCCGATTTTTCTGTCTTTTCCCATTTTTTTTGAGGAAAATTTTTCGAAAACTATTCTTTAGTTCTATTTTTCTCATTTTTTCGAAATTTTAAAAAGATTTTCATGGCCTAGAAATATCAAATAATAGCCTAGAAAATGCGGAATTAAAAAAAAAATTCAAAAAATATTTTTTTCAAATTTCCCGCCAAATCCATCAATCTTCTTCTTTTTCCTGCTTCTAACCCAGATATTTATTGACCTACATTCTTCATCATTTTCCCAATCACTTCCTTTTTTCCGCCGATTTTCCTTTTTTTTTTGGAAATTCCAATTATTATTTTTCCTTTAATAAATGATATTCCTATGCATTTTAGTCATATAAAACATGTTTTCTTTTTGTTTTAAATAATAAAAATAATTGTATATAATCCATGAGAAATTTGGGAATTTTCTGTTATTTTTCTTGATTTTTTGAATTTTTTCTTTGAAAAATACGACATTTTCTGAAAAAAAAGTGCCGGAAATGCGCATTTTGAAGCTAATTTTCGATTTTTTTTCGGAAATTTTTCAAACATTTTCCAGAAATTTCCGAAAAAAACATCGAAAATTAGCTTTTCAAAATGTCCATTTCCGGCATTTTTTTCAGAAATTTTCGTATTTTTCAAATAAAAAATTGCCTGAAATCGGTATTTTGAAGCTATTTAATTTCGATTTTTTTCAGAATTTTTTTCCAAATTTTCCACAAAAAAACCATTTTTAATGGAATTTTTAGCTATAAAAACAGCTAAAAATTACCTTTCTTTCTCTAGATCTCTCTGATTTTCTTTATATATTTTTTCTCTGTAAATAAATACAGAGAAAAGCGAAAGTTTATTTACAAGTTACAACAAAAAAACGCATTCATGTGTGAGAATTTTTTTTGGGTTTTTGAGGAAAAAAAAGATTTTTTTTTCGGCGAAAAAATCTGAAAATTTCCTAAAAATTACCAAAAATGGACCAGAAAAGTCGAAAAAATCTGGAAAATTTAATTTTCTGGAAATTCGAAAAATTCAAAAATTAGAAAATTTCCGAAAAATTTATGTAAATTTCAAGTTTCCGGAATTTTTCCGGAACTTTCCAAATTTTGAAGTTTTTCGGGAATTCGAAAAAAAGAAAATGTTTTTTTTTAATTTCCAGAAAAATTTAAATATGCGATTTTCTGAGATTTTTCGAAAAATTCAAAATTTCGAAATTTTCCGATTTTTTTCTCGAAAAATTAGAAATTTTCAAATTTTCCAGCCAGTTTTGAGTTTTGCGAGAATTTTCGAAAAATTCAAATTTTTGGAATTTTTCGCAATTTTCAAAAAATTGCAGAAAATCAGATTTTTTGGAATTTTTGAAAAACCAGAAAACCAAAATTCCCAATTTTCAAATAATTTTCTATTCTGTACACTATACGGTTTCCTATAATACCGGTTCAATCATAACTACCCTTGTCCAATTTTCTTCTCGCAGGATGTCTGCGTCTCTCTTTCTCTCTCTCTCTCTCTCTCTCTCTCTCTCTCTCTCTCTCTCTTTTCTCCGTAAAACGGATCATCAAATAAACGGTTTTTTCTTCTTTCAATCTATTATATACCACACCGATTTTCTAGTTTTTAATGCAAAACACAAAATACAACGATCTCTTCAGATTTGCTAGAAAGTGCGCTCTGTTGACAATACTCATTGGAGCGCGTTTTCGAACTTCATTCACTTGAAAATTAGAATTTAAATCTGCTATTCTTGTTGATAAACTGGACACAAAGACTTTGAATTTGGGGAAAAATGGAAATTCCAATTTCTAGGCTCCGCCCACTTACAAGGAACCGAAATCAGATGTTGTAAGAAGACAATCATGGAGATTATTCCGCTGCACTATGGAGCACAAGTCGGCATTTATGACGATAATCATGAGGTGAGCAATTAAGTCTTTTTTCAAAATTTTGAAAAATTCAAAAAAACATTTTTTTTTCAAATTTTTCAAAAAACTTTTTCTCTCACTTTTTCTTCTTTCTGAGGTTTTTAAAATTTTCAAAAAAAAAATTTCTTTTGGTATTTTTTCCGAAATTTTCAAAAAATCAAAAAATTTGCATTTTTCTGCATATTATACTGAAACCCGGTTTTTTTTTCGAAAATTTTCAAAAAACTTTTTTTTTCAATTTTTTTCACTTTTTTTTCAAAAAAAAAATTGTTTTCCGGATTACCACTTAATTCCCGTAGTAATACGGGTGGCGAAAACAGAAAATTCTAGAAAAAAACCACAATTTCTCCTTCATTTTCTGCTTTATTTCACTCATTTTTTTGTAATTTAGGACATCCCGACGCACAGACACACAGACAGAACTTTATTTTTTTTTTTCAAATTGCTCATAATTAGTCAGAGAAATTTGAATTGAGCAATTTTTTATAGTTTTATGGCTCCGGGGACGTTTCAGGACCAGAAGTTTCGGTACCACGACGTTTCAGAACCCGACGTTTCAGAACTTTTCTGCATTCTTGTATAGTGGTTTTTGCACACCAAATGAGCATTGCTATTTTCAATTTTGTGCTTTTTTATTCGCTCTTATCTACCGTACTCTTTTAGGGTTCTTTAAATTTATGATTTTGTCTTAAAATCGGCTGTTTTTAAGCAGAAAATTTGAAATTCGCAAAATCAACAAATTCAAGATCGTCAGAAAAAAAAGCAAAAATTTGAAATTCTGAAAATCGCAAAATTTTGAAGTTTAAAAATTTCGAAAAACTGATTTTTTTTTCTCAATTTTAGATTTCAAAAATTTTCGGTTTTTGGCTCAAAAAATGCCAAATTTCGCTTTAAAAAAGTTAGTTTTCAGTTGAACAGAGACCATTTTTGGAATTTTTCGAACTGCAAATCCGGGGTACGACGAATTCGAACGTTTTCAAATTCGATCAGACCTATAATCGAACTGATTCAATTCAGAACAGTCCTTTTTTCGCACACGTACCAGAACAGAACGCGGACAGAATCGAACTGTTACAAGTTTGAACTGGTAAGGAGTCGAACTGTCCCAAATTGGAACGCTGTTTTGTGTGTGCTTTCATGCGCGCTCTGTTGCAGGCAGCGTTCCAATTTGGGATAGAAAGTTGTAACAG